TCGATGATCTATCTAAAAGACTTCCTACCGGTCCCGTTTCTACTGAAAATCATAACCTAGCACCTGCAAGAAGTATCGTGTCCAGATGGTCTAAGATTGATGGTTCTTGTACCCAGTCTTTGAGTCCAGCTCAACATATTAACGCCACAGCCGAATCCCCTTTATGCTCTCCTTTCGGAACAAAACCCAAAGTCGCTTCACCTGGTTCAAACTTGTATAGGATTCAGGGACCATCTGTTCGTCAGATTACACCTACAAAATTACCAAATTACGACTCCGATGACTTCGGAAATGAGTACGAGAGTGACTTTGACGACAGCGATAACGACCCGAACTGGCATCCAGAGAAAAAGCGAAGACTACTCGTTTTCAGTTCCGATGATGGTGTTGAACCATTGCCAGATGATGACGACGATGACATATCTTTGCCTAACAAACCAACCAATGCCGACGTACAGGTCACAAACCCAGATTCACCTAACACACCACGATTAACTGATGGCAAATCTAAACGATCAAGGCGTGGTAAACGAATTCTTTTACAATGGGATAGAAATGTAAACCAAATTCTTCGCATGAAAGGAAAATCTTACCGGGGTGTAAAACGTTCTGAAGACGGAAGATATTGTCAAGCGGCAGTTAAGCGTGAACGAAAACTTAAGGAAAGAAAATGTTCTAAAGCTTGTGCCCTATCCAAAAGGTGTGGAGAATTTAGCGAAGAAGATAGATTGTCAATTTTGAATCGTTTCTGGGGTGAGCTAACTTGGAAACAGAAAAAAGTCTTCGTGGCAAATATGGTGGATCAGGTGAAGATGGTTGAAAGAAAGAAACGCGCAGAAGATAGTAGAAAGAAGAATTCTTATCGCTATCATTTGAAGAAAAATGATGCACGCACTGTGGTTTGTCGTAATATGTTTCTATCAACACTCGATCTTCAAGATAAAACTGTGTATGAATGGGTGAAAAATGATGATGATGGTATTCCAAAAGAACCAGCCATAAGGAACCCCGAGATCGACATACAGGTTAATAAGTCAACAAAGCGAAACAGTTTTTACAGGATCTACCTAAATTACCATCAGCATTATTGTCGTTCTACGTCTAAGAAGAGT